AAATTTTTGCTTTTCACTTGCCAACATAAATTTTGTCAGTAAATGATGGAGGGAACTACAAAATTTTTGCATTTTGACTTTCCAACAAGCATCTTGTTGGTAAACTAAAAGCGGGATTAAAAAATTTTTGTATTTTTCTTTTCCCGCTAAAATTTATTTTTTTCCTATGTGTATTACGTCGGTAAAAAAAATTCCAACCAATAGTACATAGGTAAAATGCTCTATATATTATCAGAACAACATAACTTGCTCATTTTTTCTTTCCTTCTTCTTCTTCTTCGTCTTTCTTCTCCTCCCTTATTTGTCTCTCCTTTCTTGTCCATCAAAATGCTACTGAATTTGTCCTTATTCATACGCATGCTATATTCATGTTATTTTTTATTTATATCTTCTCAATCTCTTCTCTTTTTCTCTACTATTCTTTATTTCTAATTGACTAAACATTAATTTGGATTATTGATTAATTTAATTACAATTCTAATTTTTTTAAATATTGTTTCTATAGGAAACATTATTGCGGCATAAATATTAGGTAAATAAATTTTATTTATGTATATTAAAATTTAATTTCAATTATATTTTGATTATTATTATTTGGTTAAAATTATATATAAATATTACATTAATTTATATTTTATCACTTTTTTTTTTTGTAGAAAATGGTGCTCTATAAATATCTTATTTATGTATATTAAAATTTAATTTCAATTATATTTTGATTATTATTTGGTTAAAATTATATATAAATATTATATTAATTTATATTTTATCACTTTTTTTTTTGTAGAAAATGGTGCTCTATAAATATCTACTCTCTAATTGAGGTAATTTTAAAATTTTTTATTATACTATTCAATTATATATATCAATGTTATTTTTGTTGGTAACCAGATTTTTTTTGTTGTTGTAGAATTTGTACAGAAACTTCATATTCATCCATAAATTAGTGATCTTGGAGTATTTTAATGGTTGTGGAAAAATAAAGGCCGATTGTTACCTTGTCGATAAAATAGTGAGATATACTATAAAAAAATATAAATTACAAACATCAGCTTAGTCGGTAATTTACCGACGTGAAAAGTGCCCTGTAATACTATTCCAGCAAGACAGTTGCAGATAACACTCTTGTCAGTAATTGATTTTATTTTACCGACGTGGAAAGTGCTCTAACAGTACTATTCTGGCTAGAGAGTTAAAGACATGCTTTTATTCGGTAATTTTTAGCCATTTACCGACGTGACTTAAAGCCACATCGGTAAATGAATTACCGAGCCCACTTTCACCGACAAAGTCATTTCCGACATGATCCAAGTTGGAACCTTGTTTTACCGACCTGATTACCTTTATTTCCGACATGATTTCTCGTTGGTGAAATTATGAATTCTTGTAGTGTTCAAAATAATTTTCATTTTTTAACTTTGAGTTTGTTCTAAATTAATTATTGTTTTTTTATTTGTTAGGATAAATAAATATTTTTTTTTCTAATTTAACCCTATTATCATCTATTTAATTTGATTAATTATTTTATTATAAAAAATATCTTATTATCTTTTTACTTAATCTAAGTGTAAGATAAATAAATACATAAATTGTTATCAAATTCTTAGTTTTTAAAAAATAATTATTATTTTAAGATAAAAAAAATACCACAAATGATAAAAAAAAATTATTTAATCAATTTAGTTCTATTTCGGTGAAATCAATTGGTTTGGATTCAATTTGGACACCCTGATGAAAGCCTCAAAATAAAAAAGGCCTTTAGTAGTGAGTACAATTAGAAAACAAAATTAAAAGATTTGTTGGCCAAAAATGAAATATATATATAGATTCAAAACTCATAAATTTGACTTGGTCAAATCAAGTATCTTTATGAAAATGTCAATTCTCTGTTTAGTGCTGGATCAATCTTTCAGCATTATCAGGAAGTTTTTTT